GCTCTCAGGGAACCCAGGTTCTTTTCCATTGTCTTCCCTATCCCCAGTTTAGCTGCCATGGGCCACGTTCCCTTTGTAATAGGCGGGCTCCCAGCCTACAAACACCTGATATTTTTCAGTTTTGGTTTCAGTTTTGGGGCCACACCCAGCAGTGCTCAGGACTCTGCACTCAGAGACCATATTGAGTACAGGGCATTCAACCCAGGTCAGCTACGTGAAAGGCAAGCACCCTACCTACTGTCTGATAACTCCAGCTCCCTCCCACCCCCCCCACCCCCCCAATACCTCATGTTACTGCCAGAGACAAACAGCCACTGCTCTGGGACAACTCTGCAAAGGGGAGGCGGGGCTGGAGATTCCTCTGTGTAACCAACGCCCGCAGGACCAGGGGCTTCTGTTCCTGAGGGAGAACAGGCACCTGCCAGCAGGCGGAATACAGTAGTGGCAGATGAAGAGCTGAGGCCACTGAAGCAGTGCCGTAGGAGGCCCCTTCAGAGACTGCTGGCATTAGGGTTCCAGACTGAGAGCATGAATCAACTCCAGCCTTGGCTGATGGTCCCTAAGCAAGTGTCAGAGTGCAGAGAGCCTCTGTCTCTAGGCAGCCTCCTGGGGCTTCAGCAGGGAGGTAACAGCTGTATCACAGGTTACCCCAGGACAGACAGAAGGGAAGTCTACCTTGCTTACTGGTTCTCCCAGGACAAAGATTAGCTTGTCCCAGAGGAAAGATTAGCTTAGTCCCCTCCTGCAGGGGACTGGCCTGCAGCATGCCCTGGGTGCTGACCACCTGAGGACAGGGCAGAATGGAGAGAGTTCTATCTCCAAGGGTGACTGCAGCTTTGTTTATTGCCTTGGGCCACGTGAGCTATAGTACAATGCTACTCCCCCCCCCCTTTTAATTGATAAGTTGGTTTTTATCAAATTATTTGAGTGATAAGGCCAAAGCAAAAGTAGTTCAGCAGGTAGGATGCTTGCCTTGCACACATCCAACACAGATTTGATCCCTGGCATCCCATATGGTTCCCTAAGCCCTACATGGCGTGACTCCTGAGTGCAGAGCCAGGAGTAAGCCCTGAGCACTACCAGGTGTGGCCCCAAAACAGACAAACAAAAGAATTATTCGAGGGGCTGGAGCGATAGCACAGCGGATAGGACATTTGCCTTGCACGTGGCCAACCTGAGTTCGATTCCCAGCATCCCATATGGTCCCTCGAGCACCACTAGGAGTAATTCCTGAGTGCAGAGCCAGAAGTAACCCCTGTGCATAGTCGGATGTGACCCAAAAATCAAAAGAAAAAAAAGAATTATTTGAATGGTAAAAGACTCATAATAAAATGATAAGCTCTAAACTGGAAAAAAAATACTTGTAAAGCCTATCTAATGAAAGAAAAATTCAAAATATACAAATAATTATTACAATTTCATAAGAAGAAAACCAGCAGAGCTGGAAAGATAGTACATCTTAGATAAGATTTTGCCTGCAGCTGACTCAGGGTTAACTCCCAACACTCTAGGGCATATTGCCCCTCAGTTCTACCAGGGTTGATCCCTGAGAGTAAAACCCATCATAATCCCTGAGCACAACTGGATATGGCCAAATAAGGAAAAAGAAAAAAAAAAACACTGAGGTTGGAGTGTTAGCACAGTGGGTAGGGTGTTTGCCTTGCATGCGGCAAACCCGGTTTGTGTGGTTTTTCAGCATCCCATATGGTCCCCCGAGCACTGCCAGGTGTGATTCTAAGTGAAGAACCAGGAGTGACCCCTGTGCATCGCCGGGTAGGAACCAAAAGGCAAACTGTCCTCTTGTTGTTTATCGATTTGCTCAAGTGGGCCCAGTAACGTCTCCATTTTTTGAGACTTGTTGTTACTGTGTTTGGCATATTGAATACGTCACGGGTAGCTTGCTAGGCTCTGCTGTGTGGGCGAGATACTCTCGGTAGCTTGCCGGGCTCTCCGAGAGAGGTGGAGGAATCGAACCTGGCTCTGCCGGGCTGGCTGCACGCTGTGCTATCACTCCAGCCCAAAAAGCAAAAATAAAATAAAATAAAATACTGTTTATATAGGCAAACATAGTGGAACATCATTTCAAAGAAAATATAGGGATGGCAAACAAACACATGAAAAGATGTTCCAAATCATATGTCATTAAGGAATCTCAAATTAAAATGACAACAAAATACAACTAAATCAACTATGTATATATTTGAAAGGCTAAAAAAATACTAACATCAGTTTTTGCTAAAAATGCAAAGCAAAACGAAATATTCATTGTGGGAATTCAAAATGTTTCAGTCTTGGTCTGGTGAGCTAAATAAGGCTTAAAGCACATGCTTTGCATGCATGTGTCTGATCCCAGTTCAATCCCTGACACTATATGGTCCCACAAGCATCATAAGGTATATTCTCAGAAGCCACTAAGTACTACTAGGGTGGCTAGGGTGGCCCAACTAAGCCCTGGCACCATAAAGCCCAAGAAGCTCTTCATTCTCAGGCCTTGGGTGCAGTACAGTGCTCTTGGTGTTAAGGGTTCCTCCAGGGCTTTTCATAGTTTGATAGTTCAGTTCTTTTTAGCACAGGATAATATTGTCCTGATGTACCAGTTTAGTTCTTCATTCACCTACTGAAGGGCATCTTGGCTGCTTCCAAACTTTTGTGATTATGAATAAAACTGCTCTATACATGTATTTATGGGGGCTGGAGCAATAGTACAACGGGTAGGGCGTTTGCCACGCACACAGCCGACCTAGGTTCGATTCCCAGCATCCCATATGGTCCCCTAAGCACCGCCAGGAGTAATTCCTGAGTCCATGAACCAGGAGTAACTCTTGTGCATCACTGGGTGTGACCCAAAAAGCAAATAAATAAATAAAATGTATATGTGGAAAGTTTTGTGCAAGCATAAGTTCTGGGTATATACCAAGCAATGCAAAATCTGGATCTACGGGGAGAGTATATCTTATGTCCTTTTAAAAACACATAGAAGCTTTTATTAATTTGTTGTCATATCTATCAACCTTTTCCTTCTAAATTTGCCTTTGATTTTGGTTAGACTTTTCCCTTCCAGGCTATTACAAATCTTCACCTGCACCTTCTGCTAAGTAGTCCTGAGATTTTTTTTTTGAAATTTAATCTGTATTGTTTTGACTTCAGAAAATATTTATATTTCCTTCTTTTTTTTTTACTTCCATAATTACATATATCTTCCTTTAAATATCTAGTCTCACAACAAGTCCAAAGGACTCCCATCTTCCAAACAAGGAAACAAAAGCACAGATAATTATTGCGTTTAAGGCCACACAGCCATTGATTGACACACTCAGGATTGAACACCAAGCCTTAGTGCCAAGCCCTGTCCTCTCTTCACCTCATTTTGGTATCAAAGGAAAAGCAGTCTTGCTGCTCCTGAAAAGTATTAGCCCATTCAACAACCCACCACAGAACACAGTAAAAAACTGTGGACATGAATCCTATTTCTTCAAATTTAGGGAGCGATAGTTTGCCTTGCATGCAGCCAACATGGCCGACCTGAGTTCGATTCCTCCGCCCCTCTCGGAGAACCCGGCAAGCTACCGAGAGCATCTCGCCTGCAGGGCAGAGCCTGGCAAGCCACCCGTGATGTATTCGATGTGCCAAACACAGTCACAATTAAGTCTCACAATGGAGACGTTACTGGGCCCGCTGGAGCAAATTGATGAACAACGGGAGAACCGTGACTTCCTAATGGTGACTTCCAGAATCAGCAGAGGCCCTCAGTGATTCTGGGGTGAGAAGCAGGAACTTACATTTGAACAGGCATCACAGGTCATTCTTTTTTATTTTGGGGCCACACCCAGCTATACTCAAGAATTACTCCTGGCTCTGTACTCAAGAATTTCTTCTGGTGAGGCTCAGGGGACCATATGGGAAGTCAGGGATCAAAATGGGTCCGCTGTGTGCAAGGCAAGCACCCTAGTAACTGTACTGTCTCTCCTGCGCCACAGATAACTCTTATGCAGGTGGTCCCTTGGATTACTCTCAAATAACGAGAAATATAACTGCCTATGACTTAGGACCCTAAAAGTGTTAGCTGAGGGTCTGGAGAGATAGTACAGCGGAGAGGGCACTTGCCTTGCACACAGCTGACCCGTATTTCATCACCTAAATCCCAGATGGTCCCCGCAGCACGCCAGGAGTAATTCCTAAGCGCAGAGCCAGGAGTAACTCTTGAGCATCGCTGGGTGTGGCCTCAAAAGAAAACAAAAGTTTTTGCTGATTATTTCTCCCAATTTTGATCTAGTAAGTATCCTTTTAATTTGGAAAAGAGACAACTAGGAATTAACACTTTTATACCTAGATATATGGAAATTGGGTTGTCATAATGACCAAAATCTTCGTTTCTATAGAAAATCAAAGAAAATTAAAAACCAAAAGTCTTTCTTCAGAGATCCGGAACTTAGTGGTGACAGTTGGAACCGTATCTACACAATCATCTTCCTCTACTTCAAAATATGTCAATTATGTCCGCGAATCTAAGTCTCCTCATGAACAAAATGAAGGTCGTAATCAGCTGCCAGCGGGAAGACAGACTTGCTCGTCAACTTTCTGAACTTTTGTCCCCAGTATTGACATCTACAGGGAAACGTTCCAGGAGACTAAACAACCTCCGGAGGCTTTTTTTTTTTTTTGCCAGCTCAGATTTGCCCGGAAGCCGACGCCACCTGGCCCGAGGTGGGGCGGATCAAAGTGGGCCACCGCGATGACCAGTCTGCGCCACCAGGCCGGGAGACACCCTCTCCCTCTCCCGGAGCGCCAGGAAGACTCCGTCATCAATAATTTATTAAGAGCCTCCTCCCCATAGGCTGACGCCGCCGCCCGCGCTGGCAGAGACCCAATGAGGACGGAGTTGAGCGAGCTCTTTTGAATAGTAAATAGGGCCCGTGACGTCCCGGCCAGGCATTGGCCAGTCCAGTGGCGGGAGGCGGGGCCGGCTCGGGCGGCGGCGAGCGCAGCCTGGGCGGCTGAGTTGGAGCCGGGAGAGGGTCGCGGCTGGGCTCGGTCGGGGCGTGGGGCCGGCGCGGGCAGAACAGGCGCCTGGCGCGGACTGCGGGGCGGGCGGCGAGATGTTCAGCTGGATGGGGCGGCAGGCGGGCGGGCGCGAGCGCGCGGGCGGCGCCGACGCTGTGCAGACGGTGACGGGCGGCCTGCGCTCGCTCTACCTGCGCAAGGTGCTGCCGCTGGAGGAGGCGTACCGCTTCCACGAGTTCCACTCGCCCGCGCTGGAGGACGCGGACTTCGACAACAAGCCGATGATCCTGCTGGTGGGCCAGTATAGCACGGGCAAGACCACCTTCATCAGGTACGCCGGACCCCCTCCCTGCCCCTCCCGCCCCTTGGGGGGAGACGCGCCCTCCCGCGAGCGCGCGCGGTCACCCGTCCCCAACACCAGCCGCGCTCCCGGCTTCCTGCGGCGCCCACTTCCCCTTAGCGGAGCACCCCGCGCTAGCCGCTCCGGCGTGGCCTCGGGTTTCCCTTCCGAGCGGGGTGTCCGGGCGCCACAACCCTGCCCCAGAGCGCGGTCACCAGGGCTGGGTCTTCCCCAGCGGCTGAGACTTTCCCCTTCTCAAAAACAAAACACAAAAACTCCGCGTACTCGGAGTCCTTCCTGGCTCGAGGAAAGGCGCTCCTGTGATTGGCCTTGTCCTGTCACCCTGGCCCTGGGGCCGGGGACGGGAGAGAGAACACGGCTATAATAAGCGTCTCCTTCAGGCGCGGGTGAGGCCGAGGGCTGGAAATGCGGCTGTGGGTGCGCGTGTCGGGCTGGGAAAGTTGAAGCCCGTAACTTTGCGCACCGGGACTAAGGCGATGGTGAATGGGAGGACGGAAGAATGAATGAATGGGTATTGTCTGTGCCCGCTTTCGCCAGAGCTCCTGACTTGCTTGTCACCAACACACACACACACACACACACACACACACACACGCACGCACGCACGCACTCGCACTCGCACTCGCACTCGTTGCAGGGAGCGGGTCGAGAGACTCCCTCTGTCCTCTCCTGCGCAGCCGCGCCTTATTGGCCCTAGGAAGTTAGCACAGCCGCCGCACCAGCCCCGCGCCCGGCGGAACGAAACGGGAGTGTCAGATTACTGTTGGTTAGTTCCTGTTTCTTAGGTGGGTCATTCCCTCTTGGCTCACCCTTGACAACTGAAGAAAATATTTGTCACCCTCCTCGTGTCTCCTAAAGCGATTGCTGGCCAGGCCCCTCACGTGGTTCAAATCTTATGGTTTCTCCGGGGGTGTTTTCTGATAGGGAATAAGGTGCATTGAAAACAGCTTTTTGCAGAGGGTCTTTACTTCCAAAGCAGTTAAGCACTTTCTTTGCTTAGGAGACTTATTAAACCCTGGATGGGTTGAATCAGGGATCACTTACAGTTTTGGATTTAGGGTTTTCAATATTGTAACAATCTTTTCCTCGCGGCTGTTCAACAGGTGTTCAGAAAACCCAGTCTCTGTTTGGATGCATGCCATTTCTATTAAGTACCGACCTCCTTTTCTCCACACCAGTGACCTAAATAGTTCCTACAAGTAGAGTAGTTGTCACTACAGGAAATATTTTTGATCCAGGCCTGCAGAGATGCTATGAATGAATTTAGCAAAGTGACACACACGAAATGGAAATACAGTCCTAGACAGTACATTGAACACAAAGGAAAACTGAAGAATAGAATTTTAAAATAGCTTTTTTGTGGCATTTGCTAGTAGAAAATAGTACTGTGTGTCACCCCAAGTACTCCAAATGAACCATAAAACCATTACAGTAACTGGTAACTTGAAAGGTGACAAACGGTGCATTTAAGGTCTAATAATGCTACCCAGGTCTCAGACCTATGAGATAATAAAGTATTACAATCAAGTGGTGCTAGAGCGTAGGTAGATCTTTCCGAATCCCCAGTCAAAAGAGATGTCAACCCTGGCTGCATTATAATTATAATGATACTGTTCCGGGCACTCACAGGGGCAATTTCTCAGCACTGGGGCAGTGTTGCCTTTAGTCTTTCCCTAGGTCGTGTGTGATCAGGGAGGTTGGCCGCTGGTATACCTCCCTCTGCTCCCACAAACAGACTAATAAGCAGGCAAGGCGGCCAGAGAGATGGCACAAGGGTTAATATGCTTGCCATGCATGCTGCAGACCCCACTTGGATTCCTGGTACCACGGATGGCCCACGGAGCACAGAGCCAGGAGGAGAACCCCTGTGCACTACTGGTTGTGACTACCCCAAAACAAAACCCAAAAAAATAAAAATAAGCAAACTGGAGGGATGAGAACACAACTTACAGGAATGTGAGTCCATCTTTTTGTCAATTTTTGTCATTATTTATTACTTGTCTCTCCACTTCATCATCTGGGTGAGCCTTGTGGAATAACTAAGCATTGTTTTTTGTTGTTGTTTGGGATTTTTGTTTGTTTGTTTGTTTGTTTGGGCGTCACACCCAGCAATGCTCTGGAATTGCTCCTGGTTCTGTGCTCAGAAATTACTCCTGGAGGGCTCACGGGACTATATGGGGTGCTGGGGCTCAAACCAGGTCAGCCACATGCAAGGCAAGCTCCTTACCTGCTGGACAATCACTCTGGACCCTCAGCACTATTTTAAGAATTTGGAGATTTGGCTCACAGTGGCTCCATTGGAATGGACCACTTCTCATGGGCACAGAAGCCAATGGCAAACCCAGGGAGGGGGAAAGTCTCATCAGGAGGCCACTTGATTTTCAGGCCTTCCCTGCCTAAGTGACTTTGTCATTAGGTGGCAGGCCTAAGTGGACAGGGAAGAGAGCTTGAAGGGCTAAAGCACTGCTGGCCTTAATGTGACAGAACCCAGATTCAGTCACCACAGCACACGCCTCCCCCAGCAGCACTGCTGGGTATAGCCCTGGAGACCCCCCCGCCCCCAGCACCCTTAGGGTGGCCCCCTCTTCTGCTGGGCCTAAGTCCTTAATCATCTGGCTCAATTGCTGGCACATCACCGTGCATGGCCCCTGGCCCTCTCTAGGACACTGCTTGGGATCATCCCCCCATATACCACCCCCCAAAACAGGGAAGCTGGATAGGATGTGATGAGGATTCTGAGTTTGGTTTCAGAATGACACTAAGGAGGAAGAGATTTTACTTCTGGGAGGAACGCCCTAGACAAATGGGTAGCTACAGAGGCAGTGGGGAGTGGGGGCGGGGGGTTGGTACAGGACCCACTATCCCAGAGCCTACCTGCATCCATAGCTGTCTTTTTGCTAGGGCTGGGCAGTACCTGGTAAGGTTTGCTGCTGACAGCGGGGCCCCAGGAGCTCATCTGTGGCTGTGTGCTGGGCCTGTCTGTTCTTGCTGTCAGAGAGATTCTTATCCGGAGGTCACTGGAGACTGCGTCTATTGTGACGCGCAGGGAAACACCTCTCGAGAGAGCCACTCAGTGAGGTCTGCGTGTCCATCCCACCTTGAGCGAAGCATCTGCTGCCTTTGGCGGCATGTCGGGGATCAAGCAAGAGGGCCACATCCATACAAAAGCTCAACACAATCAGGAGGAAGTAAAGTATATGCCTTGTTCTAATGAAAAGACTTGAGCTTTGAGCTGGGTTGGATAGAAAGTGATCTGTAGGCAAGTCCCCTGCTTTGGAGCAATCCCCCAGTATGGAGACAGTGAGGACAGCCAGCAGGCATGTCCTGTGGGCTGGCTTCCTTCACAGGACCACAAGCCACAGGGGGAGATGTTTTTCCAGTCCCTGCAATAGATGCAGGATAGCTGAGAGACCCATTGTCTCTGAGAGGTTTATTTCTCAGAACACAGAAAATGCAATGAGAGACACTACTGGTGCTCTTCCGCTGACCAGCAAGAAGGAGGGGGTCAGAGAAGAAACAGGTGTGGGGTGTCGCCTTAGACTTGCTAACAGCCACAGAGGATGGATGCAAGGTTTGGCCAAGCTTGTGTCTAAACTCTGAAGACAGGGACCAGTGTGATAGTGCAGTGGAGAGGACATTTGCCTTGTATGCAGCTAACCCGTCTTCCATCCCCAGCATCCCATATGGTCCCCTGAACACCGCCAGGAGTGATTCCTGAGTGCAGAACCAGAAGTAACCTCTGAGAATCTCTGGGCGTAGCCCCAAAACCAAACAAAATAAATGGAATCTTAAAAATAATAATAATACATTTTAAAAAATTCCTAAAGGCAGTTTTCAGAGATCCCTCCAGAAAATCTCTGTGCTCGGGAGGCTTGAAGAAGATATTTGCAGTGTGAGGATGTCAGCACCCCCGAAATCACTGCCAACCACAGAGCTGTGACTGCTTTTTCTCTTTCAACACCCACTTCTCTACACTCAAAAGTTTATTCTAACAAGGCAAAAAGAGGAAAGTCACTCAAAAAGTCATCAAAATGATAAAGGAGCTGGGGACCAAGGCCATTCACTTGATCACTTGACATCCCTTTACTCATCAATTGGCTCGAGCGGGCACCAGTAATGTCTCCCTTAGTCCCTGTCACATGCTAGTGTAGCCCAATGGCATCTGCTCGCTCCAGGAACACGAAGAGCCTCCAACCCTTCATTCAGGGCCATTAGGCAAGAAAAAGAAATGGATGGAGGGATCAGAGCAATAGCACAGCAGGTAGCATCCTTGACTTGCATGCAGCAGGTTCAGGTTCAGTCCCCCTGCACCCCATATGGTCCCCTGAGCCCATTTATGAGTGATCCCTAAGCACAGGGCTAGGAGTAAACCCTGAATACATCTGTGCATGGCCCAAAGTACCCAATATGGTCTCCTGAACACCGTCAGGAATAATCCCTGAGCACAGAGCCAGGAATAATCCTTGAGCGCAGCCAGCTGTGGCTCCCCCAAAAGAAATACATAGCACTGTAGCACTGTCCTCCGGTTGTTCATCAATTTGTTCGAGCAGGCACAGTAATGTCTCCATTGTGAGACTTGTTATTATTGTTTTTAGCATACCGAATAAGCCATGGGGAGTTTGCCAGGCTCTGCCATGTGGGCGGGATACTCTCAGTAGCTTGCCAGGCTCTCTGAGAGGGACGGAGGAATTGAACCTGGGTTGGCCACATGCAAGGCAAATGCCCTACCTGCTGTGCTATTGCTCCAGCCCAGACATATATAGTAATAATTTTATATATAGTCTCCTGATACAAACACCAAAAGGGTAGAAACTAAGTAATTAAAGAAGACTGCTAGTAGGTATAGGATTTCTTTGGAGGATTATGAAAATGTTCCTAAATTAAAGAGTGGTTGTACAGCTTTGAATATATGAAAAAGTAAAGTTGTACCTTGTAAATTTTATATTTTTAATTAAAGTTTTAAAAGGGGG